GAGGGGCGCGGGGGCTGGAGTGTGCGTGCGTGCGTGCTTACGTGCGCGCTCGCCCGCTCAAGTGGCCAGGAGGGGGTCGGCCCGCGCTCCGGGCGCATCTGCCACGGCCCTCACATATGACTGTAGGCGGAAGCGTAGAAACAAGCCTGAGCGTCACAGGCTCCCCACACACAACCGCGTGACCCGGGGACTTTCCCCAGGGTGTGCAAAAGCATGGGCACCCCCCTCAATTCAAGGGTGGGGGTGGGGAACGATGTGTCGCGTGTCCACAGGGAGAGGGGTGAGGGCGCGGGGCCAGGGAAGCTGAGCCGCGGGAGCCTGGGGGGGAAGGCGGGCTTGGCGGGGTGGGGCACGGCGGGGGAAGTGACTCAAGGCCAGAGGCGGACAGGCCCATGGAAAGCAGGGTGGGGGGAGCACTGGGAATGGGCGACCCTGAACAGAGTGGTCGTGCACGGGACAGGGCGAGGGCGCCGGCACCCCCGGGACTCAGGAGACGTACCGCAAGGGAGGGACCAACAGCTGGGTCCTCTCGGGCAGGGGTCTAACATCTGGACGGAGTGGGAAAGCAGCCTCCTGCCCTTGGGGAGTCGGGAGGAGCCCAGTCTCGTCCAGCTGTGCAAACAGGAGGAGGAGGTCCCAAGCCTACCCTTGGGAGAGGGGCGAGAGGGGTGGTCAAGCCGCCGCCACGCCAGCCCCCGCGGTGCGGGTTGCGCCAGCCTCCTCGGAGCCCGACGCAGAAACTTGTTGCAACAAACAGGCGACCGCGGGTGCCCCTAGCAGCCAGCGGCGGAGTGGGTGGGCGGGCGAGAGGGAGGGGAAGGCTGGCGGACGCCGCAGCGAACTGGTGGGCAGACCCGGAGTCGCCGCGTAAGCGGGGCCGGCTCAGTGCGGTGCGGCAGGCGCGGCTGTGCGGCAGCGGAAGTCCTTTGTTGCAGCACAGTCCCTGGCAGAGCCAGAACCTCTCCGCGCAGCCCAACCCGAGCGCCGCGCGTCGCCGCCACTGCAGCTCGCGGCCCCTTCGCCTCCGCCCGCCTTTCCCGTGGCTAATTTGCCTTAAACTCCCTAAAATCTCCGCACCCCCGGTTCCTGCTGCGGCCGGTGAGTATTTGCCAGTTGTTGGGGCTATTTGCGCAACTTTGGCCCGCGCTGAAGGGTGGCGGGCCGAGGGCCTGGTGGAGTGCGGGGCCGCAGCGGCGCCAACCCGTGCGGGAAGCCGGAGCGCGGCGGACGCGCTGCGAAGACCCTGCGACAGACGGCTACCCGGCCGCTCGCTCGATCCCGCCGGGTCCGGGACGTGCGGCCTCCTTCGGTCGCAGGCGAAGCCCCTGTGGAGACTAGTTCCCACATTAGTTACCTTCTTTTCCCTTTCTTTCTCTGCTTTTATTTTTTTGAGGGGGGAAGGGAGAGGAGGTGTAGACGGAAGGCGGGAGGACCCAGTTGATTGACATGCCCAGAGCCCGCTTCTCTAAACTTACAGCTGCGGCTCCGCGGCGGATGGGAGGAGAAGTGTCCCGGAGCCCGAGGCCGCAGACTTGGGCGCTCTCCGAGGGAGGAGGCGTAAGAGCTGTGCAAATTCTTGCCACGCTCTTTCCCACCCCCTCTTGCCGGCACACACGCTTTTTCTTCAGTAAAAAGTGGCAGATTTTGGGTTTGAGAATTTTCTGTGGAAAAGACCTTCTGTTTCCTGGGAAGAAAGTGCTTTCATTTCCAGTGGTGGGAACTTATTAGAAGTTATGTTAGTGTTCGGTAAATGTGTTGGATGTAGATCCGGAGTCGTTACCACATAAAATATGTAGGCTTGGGTCTGAGCTCAGCCACCCTCCCACTCTCTCATTCTATCTAAGCCACGCGTCTACGTGATCTGAAAGGTTGACATGGTATTTTCCAGATTAGGAGAGTCAGGGAGATGGTGATAGTCCTTGATATTTTCTGGGGACAGTAGGGCATTTTTATGTGTAATAATCCTAAATCGAGCTTCAACTTGGTAGATACGCACAGATTCTCCACTGGCCCAAGTGTATTTCCATACAGTAGTATCACGGCAGAGAAACTATTCCAGGAACAATTTTGCCTTTGACACTAGAACCCAAGGAGTGGTCCCAGGCTTTTTGAGGAGACTTAGAATCATTTTCTGGAACTGAAATTCAGGTATTTTGGAGCAGATTTGGCGAAGGCTGCTTTGATAAAAGCTATCACTTCTTTGAAACGGAGAAATTAGATTCTATGAAACTTTGTCAGTGCGAATGGATAGGATGAGGAGAATTGGGGTACAAAAAGATGAAGCTTTTGACTATCAGAAAAGACTGGCTATCAGAACCTCAAAATTTTCCTTTTGAATCATTTGCTGGATATCTGATAAAGTTTCAGTAGCTGAATGGTTTTGGGAACTAGATAGGGCTTTCTCATCTTAAACAGAGAAAATCGTAGTGGAGGTGAAATGCTTTTTTCCAAAGAGTAACACAGTCTGCAGTAGAACCATCGATTAATATTTTATATTTATTTTAAAAGTAGATTTTTTTTCATTATGACCAAATTTTCATCTATAGAATAACTCAGGCCTTTCCTGAAGCCTTTTTATTCTTCTCACCTCCAATATAGTTGCCTATTGTGGTGGTGGAGGCAGATAGCTGGTGCATCACTGTTAGAAAAAGAGAAACCATATTTAACCAGGACCTTAGCAGAGCAGGAACACAGTTTTAGCCACTTGCTCTTGACTTTGAGTTTTGATTTCGTTTTAACACTGCTAAATTTTTGTACTTAGAACTATTTCCCATTCAATGTTTAGGAGAAAATTGCCTGCTTTCAGGCCTCTCTTCTCCAGCCAGGAAAAGTGTTAAGCCTTTGATATTAACCTTCTGGCCCAAAGGGGAGGGAAACCAGTTGGATTAAAAATGCAGAAAATTTTCCATAGATTTTCATTTTTAAGCTACAATCTGTTGTCTTAAAAAATTCGAAGTGTATTTGAAAAACATCTGCTTGAGTTCATTTTGGTCTCTGTAGGATGTTTTCTCGATATTTTTTTGTGCTAATGCCTCTTACCATAAAACACTGAAATTATTTTTACGTGAACCAAATTAAAAGTGATTCATGTCTCAAAATGGAAATACTTTATAAAATCCATGCTCTTTGTAAAAATTCAACGTATACGGAAGTACATAAACTACAAAAATGAAAGTCATTCTGACTCCCACTCCCCAGAGATAATCACTGTTAATAGTCAATTCCTTGTTTAAAATGAGAGAAGGCAACATTTGATCATAACTGCTGCTGTGGGTGCCTCACCCTGAGAAGGGATGGCCTATCAGATGATTCATGGACTCATGTTCTCTGTTCACTTCTCAGGTTGGTGAGAATTAGGTAGAGGAAAAGGAAATGTTTTGCATTAGGCTGATTTGAAATTCTCTGATTAAGCAGCAGACTTGAGAGTTTGAATATAACAAGGCTGCTATTTTAGGTCTATCTTTATGAAGTACTTACTATATCTTGGTGGGCTAGTGCTAGTTCTCACACTTTTTTAATGTTAATGTTGATGTCTAGCCTCTCATGCGTTGATTTATAGTAGCCAAACTCATTTAAACAAAACCCTCATATTTGTAGAGAGTTTCATAATTTATAGTTGGGAAGGAGTTGGGTATACTTGCCATGAAAACCACTGTCAAGATATCCCTGTTGCTGATGTGGAGTGAAAGATTCCTCTTAATGAGTATCCAGAGGTAGCATGCCAATATCTAGGCAATTAGAGGAAAGAAGGGGATTAATGACTGGTTTTCAGATGTGGCGTGGAAGGAGATGGGACATATTTAAGATAGATTTCTAACTATACTTATATTGTGGCTTTTGTAGTAACTACGAGAGATCTTAGTGAAAGTACAGAATCACTTATTACTTCATCTGACATATTCAAGAAGATGAGTTGGGAAGTAGTTGATGATGTTCTGAAAATAAAGCCCCAAAATAGTACATAGAAGTTTAATTACAATGTTGGTTATTTGAAGATGTTGGGGACTTGCATGTTTTTTAGGTCTATCTTTATGAAGTACTTACTTCATAAAGTTTAAAATCATTTTCAAAATAAAATTGGAAAATTAAAGAATTAAATCACCAATCAGATTTTCTGTTTGTTGTCTGTGTAAGATGCATGTAATCTTTTCGAGGTAACTGAAGAGCTCCATCCCCACTTTAAATCTTTAGTGTGAGGGGAGGGCTTGCTGTGATGGGCAGTGGGAGTCAGCAGAAGGAAGAGGAGTTCAGGAAGGGGCAGGGTATTATGCCTGCAATATGGGGCAGTGTGAGAATACTGGTAACTCTGGGAGGCTTAGAATGTTCCACAGAGACACTTCAGTTAATTGTCATT